GGCCTCCCAGAGTGCTAGGATTACAGGCGTGAGCCACTGCGCCCGGCCTTTCCTTAGCCTTCTGTTCTTCTTACTGTACACATTCCTCCAGGAATTGAACTCAAACTCTTCCCTATCTGGCCCACCCCACCTTCTCTGACCTTTCTCCAGTCTGCCTCATTCATTCTATTCCAGTTACCTTGACCTTTTACCTGTCCTTCAAACACACAAAATCCACTCCCATCTCAGGACCCAACAGCTTACAATTTCTTTTGCTTGAAAGGTTCTTCATCTAGGCTTTCACAGAGCTGTGTCCTTTTTATTCAGCTCTCAATTCAAACATCATATCCTCGTAGAGGACACCTCTTAGCCACAATAGCTAAACAATCACTGCCACCACTACCTCCTCCCTTCCATTACTCTTTATCCCATGACTTTATTTTAACTTCTTCATAGCCCTTATCATCAGCACTTGAAATCATTTTACTCATTTGGAGATTTTTTTTTTTCATACTCCCATTAAAAAGAAAGTTTTTTTCAGGACTTGCCACATAGCCTGGCACTTGGTAAGTGCTCAGGAAATACTTGTTGGCTGATTGACTGGCAATCTCAGTGACGATGATGGCTTCCTTGACCACCCGTGTTCCACTCACTCTCCAGTCCATATCTCCAGGCCAGGCCTCCACTCGTGCTCCAGACCCCCGCCCCCCGCTGGGATATCTGACTGAGGATTGCATACAACCCCATCATTCTAAAAGAACATTCTGCGTCTTTCACCCCAACCTGCTTTTCTCCTGCATTCTTTATATTTGGAGTTGGTGGTATAATATATCCATCTTTCTTGCTACCTAAGCCAGATATTTTGGAGTTATTCTTCGTCCTTCCCATTTTTTCATGCCCTATATCTAAATAATTGTTTATGCCTGACAAGTTTACCTCATAAATATTTAGGAACTCTGTTTCCTTGCCTCCGTTTCAACCAGCCCTGCCCTATTTCAGGTCTAGAAAATCTCTCCCTAAATCTACATTGAGATGCTCCCAACAGCCTCCCCTTCTCTTCATTCAGGTGTCTGCTCAAATGTCCTTTGCTGACCAACTATATAAAATAGCCTCTCTGACCCTACTGCATAAGTCGCTATTCCCTTACCTTGTTTTCTTTTACTTCATAGTTCTTATCTGTATTTAGAATTAGATATTTTTCTGTTTGCTTGATGGTGCTTATCTTCCCCCACTGAAACACAAGCTTTAAGAGGTTAGGGACATTATCACTGTGCCTGCTTTCCTCAGTGGAGCCTGGCTCATGGTGGGTGCTCAGAAATGTTTGTCAAATGAAGTTCTGCTTCACTCCCCAAACGCCCTCTGGCCTCGTGCTGCGCTCCTAACCCAGCAGGCCAGCCCGCACTTCTCTGTGCACACCAGACTGTTTCTGGCTTCTAGACTTTGCTTATCTTTCTTGGCTGGGATTTCATAACACCAGTAATCTTAGAGTCACAGAATGGTGAAGATAAAAAGATCTTAAAAGACCAGCCCACTCAATTGCTCTCTTTTATAGACTGAGAGTAGGATTTGCCCTGGAATTTATGTCTTTAAGACTCTTATGCCTAGAAAGTCTCCTCCTTTCAGTTGCCTTTCTCTTTTTTTCCTTTATGCTTCCCCTCTCTTTCGCTTTTTGTCTCCTCTCCACAGATAGACATGCAACAAGGTATACGTCTCCCTGCTGGTCCCTCCCTTACTGGACATTCTATCTTATAACTTGTTATCTTGAAATGAGGCTCTTCCTCCATTACTCCTTATTATGATTTTGTATTTCTTGACCTTGGACTTGCTCTCTTTTGTGAGTTGGTTCCTGTTTACATGCTTGTTTACTCAGAGAGTCTGATCTGCATTACTACCCTCATCCCCCTAAACTGCCTCAAAGCTCATAAACCTGGTCTCAGCTGGAAGAGTTTATTCTCCTTGCTGGAGAATTGTGGAATTATTCTGTAGAGATAAAGTAATGGTTCTGCAGCTATTCTGTAGAAATACCTTGATAAACATTTTCCAAAATAAGGACCATTGGCCGGGCACAGTGGCTTACGCCTGTAATCCTAGCACTCTGGGAGGCCGAGGCGGGAGGATCGTTTGAGCTCAGGA